CTTGGGGAAAAGATTACACGGGACACCAAACTCAACTGCCATCACAAGCTGCCAGAAACATCACAGCCGTGTTCCCCTGCTGGATTTTTTTCAGTATGATCTGATGTCTGGATCCCTCAACCATCAGCAAACTTCCTTTTTAATCTTTTTAAAGGAAACAGCAGAGTTCCTCCTTGCTGTTCTGAATCTCCATCTCTGCTTCAGCTTCAGGTTTGAGTCTCAGCAGGAGGCGAGCTGAAATGATGGGCAGAATCGATAGAGACCAGAGGGCTGTAGATTTCAGAAAGAGGCTGAGAGATGAAGAGACACGAGGTCTGTGACATCGCTTTCAGCTTTAAAACAAAGCAAGACCTCGACTCAGCAGAAAGAGTGAAACCCGGCTCCAGCTTTCATCATTCCTCAAGCAGGCCGAAAACACACACACAGCTGTGATTAAACACACTAACGGTCATTGTGTTTCCTTGAACACAGGCGCACTGCTGCTCTGTACTGCAGCTCTGAAAGCAGAAAATGAAGACCAAGGAACTCAACGCAAGAAATGACAAGTGAGAAAAATAAGAACATATTGCAACATTGTGGAAATGTTGGTTCACTCTTCATACTGCACTGTACTCATGAGAATCACACGAGAGACACGAGAGCCCATTCATTCCAGCAGAGTTTGACATTAGCATGCTGCTAAAGACATGATGCACTAGCAAGCATTAAAAATACATACGTATTGACAAAAAATAGTCCATTTTAATTTGAGTAGTAAGTAAATTCACAGTCAACATTTTACTAGATTATACTAAAATAACACTTTCACTGAGCATGTCCCAATGTATTTTAGGATTTGTTTATTTATTTATTTATTTTTTGTGAAGGTTACATATAATTATGTCAAAAAATGTCATGTAGGAGAATAATTTGATATTAATGTTGATAAAATCTAAAAATAAAACGGCAACACAAATACCTATAAATAAATGTATTTTTATTATTATTATTATTAAATCATAAAATAATTTATAGTCAACATCCCTCAAGCTTCAAAATGCCCCTCGTCCGACCTTGATGATTAGCTTTAATGACTTCTAGAAGAGATTACCATTATCCTTGGGATTTGTTGTATTAAGGGCCTGACCCAGAATATTCACAAAGAGAGACGGGCAGAGATAGTGATCGAGACACAAAAATTAGGTATTTTAAAGTGAAGCTTATGCTTTGATTTTTGATGAAGTAGTGAGGGATGATGGGTAGGCTTCGTGAGTCATGTTTCGGGGAGTAAGGACACTGAAACAGCGAGTAGGAAATACTAATCAGCAGGAGCTAAAGAGTGTCCTCACAACAACTCCCAAAAGCATCCGACAGTTTGATTCTTGCAGCTGAGGGCACTTGTTGATGTAATGAAAGCTAAATGGATGAAGGGTGTCATGGATGCAAACACACTCCGCTCTGATTCTTCATGGACTTTCATTCATATTATTATCATTCTGCATGTGACTTTTCTGGAAGCTTTTGCGTCAAAAGCATGAAACCGATTACTGATCATCATACAAATGTATTAACTGCTACCCGCCAACAAAGTCCATTTTCTCCTCTGGTTTACATCATTTCTTGAATCTCTTTCTTGTCATTACTTTTTCATCCTCTGAGAGAGAGAGAGAGAGAGAGTGAATGAAAGAGAGGAACAGAGAAAGAGAGAACGTGTTTGGTGGTTCTGTCTCTCATTTGTCAGTCACAGTAGATGTTAATCAGTAATCTGATTAAGTTGCTCTAATTGGACTCTGCTTCAGATTCCACGGGTGAACAATGGCTCGCTTTGATGAATGAGTCGTGTTGTGTTTTGTGCCGTCATTTCTCAATCCGAGAGAAATCGTTATGCCATTAGCGACGGATCACATGCCAAGAGCCATGGATACAAATAACTTTTAAGTATAAGAAGCAGCAAAGCAAATTACTTGAAATCTCTCAGGTCGAATAAACCTTAAGAACCAGAGTGTGAGGAAATGCTTTCAACTGTTGTAACAAGCTTTTAAAACATATGTGTGAGGTGCTTCAAGGACTTAAGATGCAATAAGCCCTTAACCCGTATACTCTGATTTAATTTATCTGTATTTTACTCTTTTGCATGAGCAGAATAACAGAATGTCCCTGTTTTGAGACCAGAGGGGCTGCAACTGCTCCAACACTCAATACACAGACGATGCCTTTACGTAACGGATGCATTCATTACATCCACATCATTTCTCATATGAAGCCACACTTCACACTGAACCACCTCACCCCTCAGTGTAGCAGTGACATGCAACATTACGACAAACGTGTCAAAAGTATCTTAAGATCACTGACTCAGTTTGAAACCAAACCGTTTCTTTGCACAAGCAGCATCCCTGACGTGACATTTTAACAGCCAGGCGTGATCATCTTTTTAGCAGGTGACAAAATGAAAGTCGTGAAAATCTCCAGCCTCCTTAAAAGGTTTGACATGTTTGAAAAGATTCTGTGAAAAGATCCAGCAGGACGTCAATCAGTAGAGCAGCAGTAATGAAAAAGACTCAGCGGCACGAGGGGATGTTGAGAGGTTTTAAAAGATGCTGTTCCTGTTCTGATACTGTTATTAATAATCATATATCCAGAACAGAATTTCCAGCTGTATAAAGCATAAAGCCAGAGACTATTGAGCCAGTATGTCCAACACAATCTCATGACAATTCGTAACTATTTAACATTTTGGCAAATTGGAATTTGTATAAATTTGTACAATTTAATTCGCACCAGTGAATTATGTTAATGTTTATGACCTTCATGCTTGCTTTTTTCTAAAATTGCATGAAATTCCCTTCTCATAAAATAGTTACGTTCTCCTGTGGGATCGGCTTGGTATGATTAAAAGAAAAGTCAAATTTAGCATACTAATTAAATAATTAAATTAAATATAATATACGTTAAAGGAATATAGTTAAGTGCAAACTTATTGTGATGTTTTCGGACACTTAATTGCATGTTACTTACAATTTAGCGAAAATGTATAATAGTTTAAATTTATATTAAATGCAATTAGCTAATTAGCTTTTTTGACCCACTTAAGTAGGATTTAAGTACATCTTTATATGTAATTTTATAATGACTTCTACTGCTGAATCTACTGACAAGCATTTATGATAAACTAAATTAGCAAAAGTGCTACATTTTCCTCAAAACCCTTTACATTTAATTATAGATTTAGTTTATTGTTTTATATTTATAGGTGTGTATAGATGCAAAGTCCTAGAAAACCATGCAGGCTTAAGCTGGCTGCTGTGTTTTGCAACATGCTAGCTGGTCTAAGATGGTCATTAGCGGCTGCAAACTAGCAGACTGACTGCCATGATCCAAAACACAGAAAAGGGCTTAAGCTGGATTTACCAGGAGGTGAAAATGAGAATGAAAGAAATTCAAAAAGAAAATCGCTGAAATGTACTTTGAATATTGAGAGGGTCTTAACCCGATTAGCAAATAGAGCAAATGCTTCCCAGAGAGTGTTTAAGAGAGTAAGGGAACATGATAATATTACATGCACACTCAAATACACACTTACACGCAAATGTAGCACCCTCACCGCCTGATAAGGGGAGATACAAATGTATATAAAATGAACACAGGACACGGAGCTGCTTTCTCACTGCCAGCGTCTGTATTGTCTGAGCAACAATAAAGTGTTTTAACCAGTTTCTCAGTGTTTTTTTTTTTTCCACTTACATTTTCATGACCACCACACAAACACACACATTTAGAAGGGAAGTGAACAGGCGGGGGAGAGACAGACAGAAGCCCAGAGAGATTGATGGCTATATTCAAATGAATGCAGAGAACTGACAGGAACCCAATGGAGCGAAACACTGGCACAGAGAGAGTCTGATGTGAGCCAGTCCGGCACAAGCACACTCACACTTAAAACTACATACAGTAGCACACACATCAATACAGCAACAAATGCACACTTTAACACCACACACGTGGTGTGTGCTCTAATTCTTTAGACAAAGCACAACCACAAACGGCTTAAAATGCTTTTAGGATCAATAAATGCAAGAACTGAGTTGCTACTGACGCACTAAATGCAGTATTTGTATGACCACGTTTTCTCCATTACTAGCATGTGATGACTAGCACAATTAGGATACACAGCGAACTTGGTATCAACTCTTACAAAACAATTTCTTCAACTATTCAAATACTGACAACTACTCAATAACTGACATACTCCATAATATTTTCACATTCACACCATGTGCATTACATACCTGATAAGGGGAGATACAAATGTATATAAAATGAACACAGGACACGGAGCTGCTTTCTCACTGCCAGCGTCTGTATTGTCTGAGCAGCGCGCCCCCTCCCCCAAGAGGTGAACGCTCCAAAGGGAAAAGCAATCGATCGATGATACAACGAATATTACTGCTTCCATAGAGCACATGAGAAGAAAAGGAAGAAAGATTAATTTCTTTTTTTTCCACTTACATTTTCATGACCACCACACAAACACACACATTTAGAAGGGAAGTGAACAGGCGGGGGAGAGACAGACAGAAGCCCAGAGAGATTGATGGCTATATTCAAATGAATGCAGAGAACTGACAGGAACCCAATGGAGCGAAACACTGGCACAGAGAGAGTCTGATGTGAGCCAGTCCGGCACAAGCACACTCACACTTAAAACTACATACAGTAGCACACACATCAATACAGCAACAAATGCACACTTTAACACCACACACGTGGTGTGTGCTCTAATTCTTTAGACAAAGCACAACCACAAACGGCTTAAAATGCTTTTAGGATCAATAAACGCAAGAACTGAGTTGCTACTGACACTCCTTCACCTCTACACGAGCACGAAACAAGAAGTCACACAGAACCAGCTGGCAGTACAAATGGAACAATGAAAAATCCCATGAGAAGAACAGTCATTGCCCGTTTCAAAAGCATCACTGAAGCCAGACAAATCAGAGACATTTCACCGCCCATTTTACCTAATTTAGGGAGGGAATATTTGACTTTGAAGTAATCCTGGTAAAACTGCAGGAGTCTCTTGGTGATGTGCAGAGCGTAGTCCCCTGATCCGCTCTGGATGGCGTCAGGTCTGGCGTACAGCCGAATCTACAACAACGCAACATAAGAAGAGAGAGAGAATAAAAGTCAAAATGTGTCAGGAGCTGAATGAACTCTTGGAACTCTACGACTCTGGGTTTATTCCTAACCTGAATTCCCTCAAGGACAACGGTTATGGACTTGAAAGATTAAATTCCAAGAGTAATCAATGGTGAATATATCTGCCAAATGCCTTCATCTGGCTTGTGAATTTTGCATTTGTCTTTCAAGTGTACTTTTCTCCACCCCTCATGCAGACAGTCTTGTTCCATCCAGTTTTCGATACTTGTTTTGTTCAAATCAAAGTTTGTACTTTTTTGATTCACCTCAGAGCTGGTTGGTTTGATACATGGCTTAATCTTTTATTGAACAACTCATTTAAAATCCTTATAGATTGGTGAGAAAAAAAAATACTTCCAGTACTTACAATACTGAAAAAAAAACAGGCAGCCATTTCTACTGGAGTTATGTAGCTTTAAATGAACTGACTGCACTTTCATAAACCATAATGTTATTGGACTATAGCTGCTGAAAACCTCCTCCATATATTTGTTTAAAATTGGATTATTTCCATCGATTGTAAATCAGGACATGTGTCCTTGGAAATAAATTAGATTTCAATGAAAAAGCAAAGACAAAGCATTTGCATTTTTGCAAGATTCTTTATTCTGTGTGTGAGAAGGAGAAAGAGAGATAGGGGAGAGAACAAGTGTGAAAGAGAAAGTGTGTGAGGTGTGGCTCTGTGGGAAATGTATTCCCAGAGTAAAAATGATCTTGGACTCTTTTAGCCGAAGGCTGATGCACGACACGGCTTTCTGAATGGGCATCCATCTAGTCAGAATGAACGTCCTCCTACACTAACAGAGTTACAGTGCAAAACAAGCTGCAGGAAAGGCTTTGTTTCAGAGCCTGGCAGCAATGCACATTGAATTATGTGTTGTTTGCCTCACATGTTGCTGCCTTATCGATCAGCTCTATGTCTGATATAAAGATGAATGGGCGGCACTTAGGGCTGTGGAAATGATTCAAAGCTCAATCAAATCAATGTGATTTTAAAACAACCTGTAATTAGACAAAGCACTCGAGTTGACAATCAAAAGACGCTTCATTCATCAGCTGGTGTGAAGATTGTTCAATCCGACTCTAGTGTTGACTGCTTCATTTGTTTGTTTGTTTGGTTTTGTTGAAATGCAGCTTGACAGAGACTTAAATGGGGTTAATTGAACTTTAATAGAGATTCTCTCCATGAGCCGCTGCTCGACATTGATCTGCTAACAAGCTCTTTCTGATGAAAAGATGAAGCTTTAGTCAACACATTCTGCACTTGACTTGATATTAACAACCTGTTGAATTATTATTCTATATACGTCTGTATGTGAGGGATTCTTCAGGCGCTTTACAAATTTCTTTCTCCTTGTTAGAACATCTAGCTAGTCACCAGCTTGTGTTGTGTAGACCAGTTCGACTGGTTTAACAGTTTGACCAGAACCAAACCAGCATAAATCAGTCTGGATCAGGATGGACATTAAGGCTGGTATAGGCTGGTATTTTAATTTTGAAACCTACATAGACATTTCAAAGCATTTGTATTCTACAGCTAAAACCATCATTTTGTCCATTAAATGCACTGAACATGCTTTTTGATCAGGCTGAGTAATTTCATGAATATTTAAAGAGCAAATTTAGTATAGTGGTGTTGAATTTTAATTAGATATTCAAAGAACATTTCTCATTTTAATGATAAGACAAATACAAATTGACTGACATAAAACCAGTAGATTTAATAATGGCTGCTAGAGTGTTATGAATTAAATATGCTTCTTGAAATTCATCACATAACCACGTTCTCTTATTTAACAAATACAAGACAGATGTAGTGTAAAAGGGATATCTGGTCAGAAAAGGAAAAGTATGTTGAGTGTTAGTAAGCCTGCTTGTTTCTGTGAGAAATTGTGGGTTTATATCAAATATATATCAACAAATCAGCATATTAGAATGATTTCTGAAGGATCATGTAACACTGGAGTAATGACTGTTCAGAAGCTTTGCATCACTGGAATAAATTTCATTTTAAAATATATTAAAATAGAAAACAGTTATTTTACATTGATATTACTGTTGTTACTATATATTTAATCAAATAAATGCAGTCTTGGTGAGCATTACAAGGAGCACATGCAACAGCAGTTCTATTGCAGTTAAGATTCTATCTTATATGCATCATTACTCCTGTAAACATACAGATCAGTATGTTAGCTCCGAATGCATCAATAACTGTATATGCTTCATAAATGCAAGGTTGTATAGTTAAAATTCATGGTTACATTTCACCACTACTATCTGGAGCCTTAATAAATGTATTACATAATGTCCAACCAACTGCTGCAGACATGATTTTTACACGTGTGTGTGTGTGTGTCTGTCCAACGTTCCTCTGCCACGATCTTACCTCTTGCTCCGCACAGCCGAATCTTTATGATGAATGGTGCGAGGGGCTACCCTGCCGCTTTAATGTGATTGATGGGGGATGCTAGCGTGCGGCTAACCACTACAAGCCGCAGTGTGGGTATAAGTGCCCCAGATAGAAGCACACACTACAGTCAGCAGTGATATAAAGAAGAGCGCGGTCATGCTGAAGGAGATCAGATTAATTACACTAATATGAGGAGGAGGCCGGCCAAGGGCACGCAGCAGGAACCACTGAGGAAGCCGTCAGGAAGTGTCTAATATGACAACAGGGCTTTGACTGAGGATGATATCAGTAACACGACGCATAAACCATGTCTCTCTGTTGGCAGACACATGATGCTGCTTAGACTGTGAGGACTCAGTACCAAAAAAATTACATTTAAGTGCATGTGATGAAAGTGATACAGCAAACATTATTTTAATGGCTAAACTTTACATAAAACATGTTCATACATGACAGATAAAGCCTGGAAAAGTTTGTCATGAACAAAATCCTGGACATAAGCAAAAGTGGACATGATTATTATCCTTTTAAAAGCAATTACAGTGGTGTGAAAAAGTGTTGGCCCCCTTCCTTCATTTAAAAACTGCATGTTGTGTTTATTTGTGTTATCTTTGACTAATATTTAAATTTGTTTGATGATCTGAAACATTAAAGTGTGACAAACATGCAAAAAAATAAGAAATCAGGAAGGGGGCCAACACTTTTTCACACCACTGTATATGGCTTTGTAGACACTAGACTAATGTTAGTGGAGACAACCCTTTCCATTTACATTATATCCACTTTGTAACCATTATGTATTGACTATACAGACTTACTGTAAGCTTCATATAAACAAATCCACTGTGAGTAAGATAGCTCTGTTCCAAAACTTGCTGTCTTGGCAGCTGCCTTACAAGGGAGCATCCTAAACGAGATACTCAACTAGAGTACGTAAACAACAGTTCTTTACATATGAGACTCATCTCACAATTGATATCAATAGATTCTGATGTTAGCATTTTGCTAAGCTATTAAATACATTAATGAACATAAATATGCATAGTTCACGCAAATATTGGATAATCAGTTTTTAATTAACCTACTTTATCCATACGTTTCAGTATTTAATTAAATATATTTACTCATACACTATCAAAAGTATGAGGTCAGTAAGATTTTGTAATGTTTTGCTTATTGACCCCAAACTTTGGGTAGCATACTTATTTTATAAGTATATATTGATTTCTGTCTACTTATTTGCTGTTTTAGATTGATTTATTACTGAACTCTCTGTGCAATGCATTCTGGGATTGTTTTCACTCTGAATCATTCATGAAAGGCTGCTGTAGAATTTGGCAAATGATGCATCTTAAAGGCAGAATATCTTTTGGAAAAGCATCTGTGATACCTTAAAAAGCTTCTTACTATGTTTTAGAAAAGAGTTCTGGAATAATAAGATCTTAAAATGTGACTCACCACAACTCCATTGTCTGTAACTGCTTCTCTGTAGGTGAAGTTGCACACGGCCCAGGCAAGATAGTACGTCGACATGCGGGGCGTCCTGGAGAAATGGTTGGTCACCCATCCGTCCTCGTCAGACGTTGAGGCCTCCACTGGCATGTTGGACAGCGACTGATACGAGCTCTCGTGTTTCAGACTCACTCTGAATGTGGCTTTATAGATGGGCTCGTCGAAACACGGAAAGGCCTTTCTAGCGTGAGTCGGTGAGAACTGCGTCACTGCAAGGAACCTGCAGAATAACACCAGGAATAAGAACATGAGAGAAAGGTGAGATGAAAAAAATCTCTGGAAAAATATATGCTATTTACATAGCCCAGGAGTCTACAGTGAAAAAAAATAATTTCATCTGAACTTCATTAAACTGGTTCTCACATGACTTTCCTGAATTCAAATTAGCTCTGACTGCCATCCCTGAACTCATCGCTGTGCATTTTTATCTCACTAATGAGATTCCTGATGTGAAGATGGACAAAACCAATACAGCTTTTTGAACCACGGCAACTAAATCACATCAAATGTCAACATATCATAAATCACACCAGAATTACTGCACAGAAATATTGATATATCTGTCACAGCTGTAAACATTAAACCCATCTGTGACAGTCAACAAATTGAGAGCGTGAACCAATTTAGATGACAAGGAAATAATAAAAAGCTGTCAAATTCATCTTACATGTAGTTGGATTGGTGAATTTTAAGTGAATCATTATTAATCTACATTTAGACACGTTTACCACATCGGAATCACATCTGAGTCTGAATATCAGAGTCTGGACCATAAACAGCCATGGAAATGTTTTAGTATATGTAAAGTTAGATAGCGGGAAAAGCAGTGAGCTGCATTCCAGAAAGCTGCATTAATGGATATCAAAGCCCGACTCAAACCTCACGATTGCTTTGGCCACCCACAGCATGACCAGCAGACGCGGCTGTACCTGAAAATGTGTGAAGGATGAAGGAAAAACTGTTAAATCTCCAAAAAGACCAGATGACCAGATGTCGGTTTGAAGTGAACTAACAACACGGTTCGTGTGCCCACATCTAACTACATAAACACAGGTATTTTCTCAATCCTGCGTTCACAAATACTGTATATACGAGCAGCCAGCAGGCGCTGATTACACTAAACTTAATGATCTTCACAGCCTGTGGAGCTCAGAGCTACGGCAGGACACTTTCTGAACATCAGCATGCTAGATTTATCTCAAAGCTGCTCTTCAATGGATCTTACAATGTCAACACGTCAATTTGTGCTGAATCAAAAATGGGTTTGATAGAGTAGTTACACTGACGTCTTAACATGCTGTTTTACAGCTGAAAGGAGGAAGAAGGTTCAGCAGTTATTGCAAACACAGAAAGGCAACTGGTGGATGGATAAGATTTATGAAGTGAGTCCATGAAAGTGATCCCTTCAGGGTAAAACGAGGTTTAAACATGTCTCAAATGTAGGAAAACCTGGGGCAAAGATTCAAACATAAGCCATTTTTCCCTCAGAGGACATAGAGTCAGAAGCCTCAAATCAAGAAATACTGTAGATATTTAGTGCTGTCTAACTGAAATCATTCTGAATATGAGGTTGTAAATGGCTGTAAGACACTGTAATCAATGCACATATAAACTTCTGATAATCAAAGGCTCATCTTGTCACGAGTTTGTTTGGTAATCAAACACATGACGATGAAGATGAAGATGAAGTTCCAACAGACTTTAATAATCCACAAGTCAGATTCCACGAAGAGAACCAGTTCGACACAACTCTACATGAACTTAACACCCAACACTGATCTCAAACTGAACAGAATTTAAATAGTGAAGATAACGAGACACACACACCTGAACATAATGATGAAATCAAATGAATAACCATGACAGTCCATGAGGGTTTGACACATCTTACAGAGCTGAATAATATGATACTGGGTGATCTGACGGTTTTCAAACATTGAAATGAATTGTCTTAGTTTAAACATTGGCACATTTGAACCAAACACCTTAATCTAATCTAATCTCACTTTTTATATATTGATGCATTATAGTAATAACTGCTTAAATAGTTAAGATAATGTTGTATAAGAGGGTTATTTTGATGTAAATCTAACTCTCTGTAGATTTATGAATGTTTAGCACTGTGCTGGAAAACTTTCCATGATCATGTGCGAGTCTCAGTGTCTGAAAGTAGATGAGTCACTGAGCACAGCGTCAAACACAGCTGTGATTTCAGTACCCAGAGGTTGACCAGCATTCATTCAGATCTGTGTGACCTCTGACTTCCCTAAACACTGAGGAACAGTGACTGTCGGAGACAGAGACGTAAAAATGACATGCAGACGGTAATGTTAGACTAGGAGTTATAGGTGAACAGTAACCTGGATTTAAATCTGTTAATATTATTAATGAAGAACTGGAGATTAGATCTTGTTTATTTTAACACATGCTGTAATGATATTTGGAAAACAGCAACATTTTTAGCCTTGGCAGTTGTGTTTGCAAAACGTATCACCTCCATGTTGTACTTGACCCTTTACTGACATCCTGACATCCTGACATCTGGACATCACGTGTCACTGTGACAATACATTGTTAGGAAACATTTGTGAGAACACCAATAAATTAAAGCCAACCTCACAAAACTTACTATGGCAACCAGAGTTTCATCAAAAATGCAATGGTTGCTACTGTTATTAGTCTCCATTTATATAAGAAAATCCCATATTCATTAATTATGGTTTTGAAGTAGCGAACATTACTATTGAAACTATTAGATTTTGATGTACTACTAGAAACACTAGTAGAAATACTAGTCAGAAGAATAAATTAAGACAATTACAAAAAAAGGCTTGTTGGTGTTATACTGAGATGCCAATAAACAACATATCAATGTCAGGCAGCATCAGCATAACATGATTTGCACACAATAATATATCACTGACCACTGAATCTCACAAGAATGAATATTCACTGTGATCCTTAAAGAAGTCCTGCTTATTCTCATTCTCCCCTCAACAAATTACCATTAAAACCATATTTTTTAGTATAATACCACAGTTAATACACTGTGGTAGGTAAAACTGTGGTAAATTGGTGACAGTAGTTATACACTGTTTGAATGAGATCCCATATTCATTATGGTTTTACAGTTTGGTTACCATGGTACATTTATGTGAGAGAATTAATTAGCCAAAAAAGTGCTTAAATGCGCATATAGACGTCAGGCAGCATCAACAGTTCCCATTGTAACTGTAACAGCAGAGCATTCTAACAACATCTGGAAGAGTTTGACTCGGACACTGAAGCGCTTTTACCTTCTTTCTCCATTCAGCACGTACGAGCTGCGGAAGAAGCCCAGGAGCTCGTGCTCAATGTGCGCGTGAAAAGTGATGTTGATCTTGTAAGTTCTGAGGGGCTTCATCTCTCTGTGCAGCGCGATCACATACACCTGCTTGGGCTGGTAGTGGAAGCGGCGCTGGATCCTCATGGCGCTCGCTTTCTTACTGTCCGAATACACCAGCACCTTCTCCACCAACAGCCGGTCCGTGTGCAGCACGATGAACTTCGTGGAGTGGACGCATTCAAACTCAATGTTCACCTCGCCGGAGAAGGTGAAGTTCTCCATGTACACGGACAGTCGGAGGTCGTAGTGTCGCGGGCGCAGGGTGGCCGGTAAGCGCAGATGTCTCCAGGGCTGCTGGCCGTCTTCTGAGTCTCTGTGGCTGATGTTCCCGTCCCGGGACTGTTTCCACTTACTGTTGCTGGAGCCGTTCGCTGCCAGAGCCCCGCTGCTCTCCGCGGCGCATCTCTCGAAGCTGACGCTGAGCGTGATTCTCTCGAAGCTGATGCGGAGCGTGATTGCGATGGCCGTGACTACGATGAGGGTGAGGATGGAGATGGCGAAGCCCAGCACAAGTCTCTCATTCACCGTGATGTGCTGCTCGGTCGTCCGGGGCCGGACAACCACGCTGTCGGCCCACTGATCGGACAGAGCCCGTCCGTTCCTCATGCTCGCGTCCTCGATCCCCATTATATGACGAATCTGATGTGTTTTATATTCATGATCAGCCTCCGTTCGTGCGGTGCAGCTTCAAACTGCAGAGGATGAGCCGGCGCACTGATTTAAAGGCGAAAAAATCGGCGAAGATCCCGCGAAACGCGCAAAGCTTCAAATAGAATGAAAGAACTGATGATCGATGACCTCGAGACTAGATTCGCGTGAATCCGAAGTTCTTTCGGTCAGATGCTGGAGCTCATCTAGTCCTGCCGCACATCCATTTCTGCTCTGATTTCAGTTTGATGTGGATGAAGGTCCAGCACCTGCTTCCTGATCAATCGCGAGAATGTTGTGAATCTCTCTGCGCTCTGTTCATTTCTGCCTCCATCCTCATCCCTGTTTCTCTCTCTTTCTCATGCGTTCTCTCTCTCTCTCAGCCTTTGGGCTGCGCTCTCTCTCTCTCTCTCTCTCTCTCTCTCTCTCACGCGTTCTCTCTCTCTCTCTCTCTCTCTCTCTCTCTCTCTCTCTCTCTAGTAGTAGTAGTAGTCTAGTAATTCCGTCTAAATCTTATGTTCAGTTAAATCACATATAGTTAAACAGTGAAATATTCAGACAGGCTGATGTGACTTTTCTCCTCTTTCACACACATCTAAACTGCTGAGTTGCATGAATATTCAATAGAATAATGGAACTAGATAATGGACAAATTAAATGGGGAAAAATTATACATGCATTTGAGACATGTACATGTTAAAATCTTACAGCAGTGCTGTGACAGTATTTTCAACACAATGATTATTACACATCCCACAAATACATAAGAACATGTCTGTTATGTACTTTCACATCAAAAGTACGAAAGATGGATGTGTAATGATTGTTGCAATAAAAGCGTCAGGTTATGGGACAGTCCAGAGAGAGACTATCTCCCTATGAGTACACACTCTTATGTGTAATCACAAAAATGAAGCTGTTTAGTTTTGTGCAGTAGTGTGTATTTCGGTGTATGTGTGCTTCAGTTTCAGTTTTATAAACCCAAATAATTAAGCATATATACACAATGTGAGCTGCAACTGTACAAAATTAAAGGCTGCTGTCCATGGTGCTGAATCAAGCAGTAGCTACTATTTCAGCACCACTAATGCAACCTAACTGAAAAAAAGTTTGCATTTCAAACAAGGTTCTCAAGAACACTCCCCCCATCAACCGTTGGTAGAAAACACAGATAGACCAGTCCAAGCTCACGCCAATGGTTGGTTGATTCTCAAACAATCCTTGAACCACAAAGCCATTTTTTTTTTCAGGAGGAATCAAACTAAAAATAGGTTACATATAGTAGTTTCTACATACTAATAGTTGAAGATTTATACAGTATTTTTAATATATTTAAAACGCCACATTTCAGCTTTAATGAGTTTGACCATTTTTACTGCTTAAATAACTACCCTGATTTTTTTTTTTAATCACAAGGCTTATACAGATCTTAAGCCTGAAAAGATTATATGTAGATTAATATCTTCCATTGTTCCATAAATTATTCATAAAATTGATTTAACGAAGTCCTGAGGATCTTTCAAACTTAAAGTGATTTCTGTGGAAGTAGCACCGATGCAAGATATATAAGATATATAAAACATAAAATAATGATATCATTTCATTAGTTCAGATTATCATTAACTTTATAATTTTTTTACTCTTTTATTTTAGCATTTGAGATTTTAGTTTAGCAGTTTTAAGATTATACAGAATATAATCTTAATTTAATAAACAGAGTAAAGTGAGGCAAAAATTTCTGTTTGTTATTTGTTTAATTAAACTTTTCACTAAAGTAAATATATAAAAATCACAAAAATCATACTTATTATTTTACTTGTCTGTGGCCATGCACAACTGTAACGCACAGAGCATCAGTCATTAGGCATTAATCACATTATAATACAGTTAACAAATAATAAACTTCAATTGCACAGTGTACTGGATGATACAGAGTCATTTTTAGAATTGTGTTGGTAATTTTAATTCACATTTCTTCTTTCTTGTTTGACCTGAATGAATTTTGACTTTTATTTACACTTTATCTTCTTTTCCAGGTATCAAGATGATATCTTTCACCACAGCAAATGCTTCTGCAGATGACAATGTGGCCTCATCATTTATAAGAGACCTTCATCCTGATGCTTCCAAGTTCTCCATCAGAAGTTCATTGCTGGTTTCAGGTGATTTTCAACAGTTGTTCGAGGTCCAGATATCTGAGCTGCCTCATGAATATCTTCTAATCTTGTATGTAATCCTGATAATGAAATACAGCAGTTGCTGAATTGATCTGTGCTTTAATGGTTTGGTTTAACCGACATTAAACTATAAATGATTGAATCTTGGCTTTTATTGTGTTATATTGAATGTGTGCCATTGATTGTTTGAGTTTCCATACAGAAAGCTTCAGACTACCAGAAATAAGATTTAGAAACCATCTCACCAGCATAATTCAAATAAACACATTTAATGCAATTTAAATCTATAAATTTCAATAATTGTAGATATGTAAATAAAATTATTGATGGGAAATATTTTCTGATGACTAAGAAAAAACTGAATTCAGAGGAGCAAGTATTGACCAAGTTTCCATGAGGACATTAACACTGGTCATGCTGCACTTTCTGATAGAGATCAACATGATCTATCAATGTCAGTTTGTTGTCTGTGGCTTGGTATTGTTTCAGTTGTTTCTGTGCACTTTTATAACATGGTAAAAAATAATTATGGGTACTCTTCTGCTTCCCAGGAGGTTTTGCTGGATTTCTGGGCAAGTGTGAGGATGAAGACTAATGAGGAGCCGGTGGGTCCTCTTTGATCCTCATCAGTTATGACATGGTGAGTGTCATCTATTATGTTGTATTGTGAATAATATGATTTTGTTCATATTCAAAAGCTTTCCACAAACCCACAAACACCTTCTATTACTTTAATCCCACTTTCACATGTCCCCTCCATATTTTCCACCACTCATTTGTCATTGTACATCTGTCATTGTTTCATAAAGGAAGACCAGCGGCAGCTTTTTGAATGAAGTGACTGCTCCAAACACCAAATAACATTCTCAATTTGCAGCCATTGGCATGGCTGGTTAAACAGCACAGCGAGAGGAGAGCTGTGAGAGTGTGAAGAGACCCTTGAAGCCAGGAGAGAGAAGGTGAGGTGGAAAGATGACAGGGATAAAGTGAAAAGGAGAAAGGAGGCTTCTAGTTCAACTGATTTTATTCACATTTGAAATTCTCTAAACTAGAACTGGCAGAAAATGCATTTAGATTCCCATCCGATCAAGATCCTCTATGCCCCTTTACCCCCAAATGAATTTAAAACCTATTCTTATGAAATAATGGGGCAGAGATGGAACGTCCTTAAATGATTGCGAGATCTTCGAGTCACATGAAAATGGAGGTGCATTTAAAGAGAAAAATAAGCAATTTCCATGTGGCATCTGAACACAAAAGCTTGTGTCATGGTGTTCAAATGTGCGTGAACCATATGCCTCCTGTTGAATGAAAACATATAACACAAGATCAGTCTGGATGGACTGTGAGGGGGGCTAATTGAATAAAAAAATGTCAGTGAAACGTCCTTGAGGGCAGCTGCGACTGCCAACATATAAAGGGCCATTTCAGAGGGGAGAAATGAAGAGAAGCACACTCACACAGACAGAAAAAGAGAAGGAAGGAGATTTGTTATTATATGAGCAGTGCAGAGACACATCGCCCCACGCAGTCCACAAGTAACATTAGCATAAGAATCACAATCAACAATGGACAGAGATATAAACAACACAACTGGAAGTGCAGTGTCCCTTATCCAAGCAATCTGGTGAAGTCTCTCTGAAACCTGTGAAGTTTTGCTGTTTTTCAGCGATCAAGCAGATGTCCTTGTCCAGTGGAACTTCTACAATCTTAAGCAGCTGTTCTGTTTCAGGCATTGACTGAGCCCACCTGCAGAGCCATTGGGAAATCCGCCTCACACACCTGCTTGACTTAAACTGACGACAAGCTGTAGCTGTTTAAAGGTGCAAGAGTAAAACTGTCGGTAAGTACACATTGCATATCATCCTTGCCACAAGGGGCACTGTAGTGGGCATTAGGGTAAACTGACTTTTTCTATGGTCAATTTTGTCTTTCAGGAAATTACTGTCTTGGTGTAGCAAGAGAATTTTGATGATCAAGTTAGGCAAGGTTAGTAAAACTCTTCACATATTATTAAGTACATAATGTGCCCTTCATGTTGGAAATATCGTAATTACAAGTTACAAACACATGAGTGAATGAGCAAAGTCTTATTTACGAGCGGAAAATTCTAAATGGAGTTTTGCCAATAAACAACATATCTGTTTATATGGAGAAATGTGATATTGGAAGGTGTGTGTCGTGTAGAAAAATTGTGGAAATATATATAGAAAACAAGTTTAAATTAGCTTTATGTACACTGTAAAAAATTAATGTGAAATCTACAGGAATTTACTGTGTTTGTGTACAGGAAATTACTGTATACTAGTTCACAGTAGAATACCGTAGTTTCAGTCAAAATTGCAGTAATGTAAGAAGTACTGTGAGTGTCACAGTAACCAGCAATGTCTTGTAGAAAATCACAGTAACTTCCAATGTATTCTAGAAAACACAATAACTAATTATGTACTCTAAAAAATCACAGTAATTACCAATGTATTGTAGAAAACACAACAAGCAATTATGTACTGTAGAAAATTAGAGTAACCAACAATGTGCTGTAAAAAAAATAATGGATATTATTTATATCCAGCTTAGTTTTCACAAGAGAGCGGGCGCGGGCGCTATTTGTAACTTGAATGTGTTTGGCTTCTGGTGTCTTTCGCTTCCAGTTATTTTACCTTTTACTAGCTGCCAGTTAATTACTGTAGTTCTTTTCTACAGTAAGTTACTTGTCACTTGCTGCCAGTTCATTACAGTGAATTTCACAGTCAGTTTCTTACAGTGTAACAAAAAAAAACTGATAGAAATAAATTAAGATGTAGTTAATAACAAATGCCCGACTCGGAGGTACACTTCCCGGGTCCACTTGAAGGTAGGATAAGAACTCTTGGGGTTTAAAGGCACAGTTATTTGAAGGTAACTCTATCGCCCCCTTGAGTACAGGGGATTGTTACCTTCGCAAACACATTGGCATACTTGCACGGAGTTTGTTTTTGGCCTTCTTTAACAAATACAATTAACAAATCTGTAATTGTGTATTTTGGACAGAACAAAATGCATCCTGAAACTCTTTGTAATGTAACTGTGGGTGTTTTGCTGGAGGGAAGCTGATTCTGTCCAGGGAGGTGGAGATTTTTCACATCAGTCTAGAAATCATCCGTCAGCAGTTTCAGTCACACACACACTTT